TTTGTATGGAAAGACTAAAACCAATCAAGAGAAAACCCTAATCAAAGACAAATCAAGCATGAAAATCAATACACTTGCACACAAACACCCCTAGGGTAAATCCACCAAGTTGTCTTACAAAAATGGCCATATTATGCATGTGAGGTATCTTAGCAAAAACAAGCAAAATACAAGATCATAGTCCCTCGATGACACTATCCATGTTGCCTTTCAAAATGATCTTAGTTCCTAAAAAAATGCTAAGATATCTTGCAACATTGCTAATCATGGGTATACGATGACCCACGCTCGTCCCTTTTATATCCAAAGATAGGATTACTTACCAAATCAATGGTAAGATAACAATGTCAAAGGAAGAAAGGAAATGAACATGAAAGACTTTTGAGTAGGTAGAATGTTCCTAGTTACTTGCTCCATTTCAAAACAAAACATCCTTGCTATTTTCAAAACAAACACCAACACTTCCAAAATATCTTTCAAAACTTAAAAACATTTTCAAAAGATCAACACCTTTGTATACATTCTTACGAACGAGAATCATTATAAAAGTTTGCCTAGACAATGGTCTCTTTACAAAATACTTTCAAAAAACCACACAAAGCACATTTTCAAACAAAAGCAAGTGATCTAGAAAGTAACTAAGAGCCCATGGAAAACCATGGATGAAAAGGGTGATAATACCTTCCCTTTTCATAATCTACCCCTCGAACTCAAGAAATAATCTCAAAGGTCTTTCCTGTGCTTTTTCACCTTTCCTTTTGGATAAAAGAAAAGTCGGTGGCGACTCTTGCTAACCGCAATATTTGCGATCAAATGCAAAACAACCAAGTCAGCTCTCCCACCGTATCACAATCAAAGTATATGACTGTAAGAAAATCCTTCGACCCGCTTCCTGCATCCTTGTTGAAGTTGTTCTTGTGCTGCTTTGATTGCATACATTTCTCACACACCTCGTTTGGAATATCAATTTCTAGCAATTCTGAAACCATATTTCTTCTTTTTAAATCTCTGATATCTCTGAAGTTGAGATGACTTATTTGATAATGCCATATCCATTCATCTCTGCTAGTTGCAGTCGAAAGGCACTTGTGCACTATCACATTAAGTTCAACCTTGAAGGTTCTATTTGGAGACATGGGAGCCTTCAAGATTAACCTTCCATTTGCATTGACGACTCTCATCATCATTTCTTCGATTGACACGTTGTAATTCTTTTCGACCAACTACCATATGCTGAGCAAATTTCTCTTCATGCCTGGTATGTACAACACATTGGAAATTACTGACCTTTTGCCATGTTTCCTCATAATCAAAATATCTCCAATATATTCAACTTTTAGAGTATTGTCATTTGCAAATCATATTCTTCATTGAGGTTTTAGGTTGACAAACCAATCATTCCTTCGTGACATATGTGATGAGCATCCTGAATCCAAGTACCATTGATCCTTGAATCTATCTTCATCTCTTGTTGTGACCATCAACATCATCTTTTCTTCTTCTTCTTCTTCTTCTTCTTCATGTTTTAAGAACTTTGCATCACTTTCTTGATTCTTTCGCTTTTCTAGACAATCGCTCGAATAATAACCATATTTTTGACAATTGTAACACTGAATGTGAATCTTGCCAGGTTACCACCACCTCTTCCTCTATTCGCAACACCACCTCTTCCTCTATTCGCAACACCACCTCTTTGGTTGCCTTGGTATGGTCTTCTTTGATTCGACACATTTTCTTCGTGCTGATTTCCTCAACCAGTCGAATTATTGTAGCCACATCTAGCTTTGTTGTCGAACTACTTTCTTTTGCCTTTCTTATCATTTATTGATTGAGCGTGCAAAGTCACATCACTCTTCGACTTGCTTGCAGCTCTTTCAGTCATTCTTTATTCATGATATTCAAGCGTCCCTTGAAGCTCTTCCTGCAACAAAGATAACATGTCCTTCGACTCCTCTATGGAAACTACCACATGGTCGAACTTCGGAGTCAAAGATCTTAAGATCTTCGAAACAACAACTCTTGTTGTTAATGTCTCTCCACAAGTCTTGATTTGATTCACTAGTTTCGTAATTCTAGTGAAAAAAACAGATATGCTTTCGCAATCTTCCATCTGAAGCAATTCATACGTTCTTTTATGAGTTTGTAACCTCACCTCTTTCACCTTCTTAGCGCCTCTAAACGATTTCTTTATGATTTCCCAGGCTTCTTTTGCAGATTCATCATCACTAACCTTTTCGAAATTGTTTGGGCTGACACATTGGTGAATTATAAAGAGAGCTTTATAATTCTTCTTCTTTAATTCTTTGTATTCTGCTTCTTCTTCTTCTAAAGCGTCTTCATCAAGATTCCAAAGACCTTGAAAACAGAATATAACTTTCACCTGTTTGCACCAATTCTCATAGTTATCACCTTTAAGAATCAGAAGACTTGCTGGAAATTTTTTGTTAGTGTAATTCATCGCCATCGTGAATTTCTTCTTCTTCTTCCTCGATCGTTCTTGATCGTTCTTCCCTTGAATCACTCAACCGGAGCTCTTGATACAAGATGTTGGAAATCCACCAAAACCTATGATGAATTTCTATCAATTTGATGAACAAGATTGATATCACCACACAATGACAGTGAATTATATGAAAAGAAAAGAAAGAAGATAATTATTTTCTGTAGAGTTTCTCTCTGCCCACAAACTCTAGAAAACTTTATTATTATCTTGTAACTGTAAATTCTGTGAATACAATGAATTGACTTGATTACAAAAATAGGGATTGCTCCTCTATTTATAATTTTAGATTAACTTGCTCCTTAAGCTAAAATCCAAAATTATAAAAGGCCAAAATACCTATTATGAAACTATATCAAATTTATTATATTTTAGATCTAAATCAAATATATCTAAATCTAAACCAAATCTGTATGTAACAACCTGTTTCCACAGTTCTAAATCAAATCAAATCTTTTCGACATTTCTTTGTCTCTTTATAAAATTTATTTTTATAAATGAATTTTTTTAAAAAAGGAATAAATTAAAAGGTTAATTTTAAAATTCAATAATATAAATATAAATGATTTAAAATCACATATTTTATTAAAGATATCTCAAAAATATTTTTTTTAAAGTAATTCAAAATAACTTTAAACAAGTTATTTTACAAAATTTCAAATTTAAAAAATGTTATTGGTAATCTAGAATTACTTAAAAAAAATTTATTTAAAGTTTTTTTTTAAAATTATTTTAAAAAGATTCTAAAATTATTTAAAAAAACCTTAAACAAATTCTTTCTAAGATTTAAAAACACTAATTCTTATAAAAAGTAAAAAAAAGGAAAGAGAATCAATTCTTTAGATTAACTCTGAGAAATTAAAGTGCAATCTTTCTCCACAAGTTCAACGCCTCTCTATGTAACAACCTAACTCATATTTATTGGGTGGTAGTATGCAAAACATTTGTAACTCATAATTTTCACTATTCACCAAATTTTAAGCTAAATACTAATTTTAAATAGAAGAAGTTAATTTAAATATTTAAAATACATTAAATAAACATGATAATTTGTTTTTTTAGGAAGCTACACTCACTTTCCTTAAAGTAAAAGTGAGGTGTATTGAAATGACACTGACATTTTTTTAATTTTAAAATATTTATTAAATTTTTTAAAATTATATTAAAATGATATTAATATATTTTTTTAATTTATAATGATAGCGAAATATCGAAAATATTGATATGAGTGTTCAAATCTAAATTGATTAAAAATTAAAAATCATAAAAAAATAAATATTATTAAATATATTTAGAAGTCATTTTATAAAAATTCTTTGATTCAGATGAAATTTCAAGTATTTTTAAAACCAAACTAAATTGCGTGAATATATTTTATATTTATTTATTTTTATTAATATAATGTATTATGTTAATTTATTATTTAATAATATTTATTTTTTAAATATTATTTAATAATTTAATTTAAATTATTTATTTATTTTTATTATAATTAATCATTCTTATTTTTTAATATATTATATATTATATATTATCTTAATAAAAATATAATTTATAATTAAATATTTAAAAATTTATCTAAATTAAATTGTATGAAATTGAATCAGATTTTATTTTTAATCAATTATTTAAAACTAAATCAAACAGTAAATAAATTTATGGAAAAAACTTAAGTGCATTTCTTTAGATGTAATTTATGTTTTTTTTTAATGAAAACGTGAGAAGTGTATAATTTCTTCTTACAAATATGTAATTTCTTCTTATTTTTTCTCCTTAAAAATATTTAAATATATTCATCATATTTTTATTAAAGAAAAATATGAATCACACTTATGAAATTGTATCTAACTATTATTCTAAACTTAATTTTAAATTAAATAAATTTTTATCTTAAAATCGACCTAAAGAGTAATTTAAACCTTTTTAGATACACATGTCATTTATGTATTGTTTTTTGTGTTATTAAAATTTTATTTTGTATATATCTTAAATAAATAAATGCATATTTTAAAATGAGAGAGAATCTCACTGGAATTTATCATTTTAATCTCAAAAATTCCCTTTGAATATTTCCTTTGAATATTTATGCCTTTGTTTTTAGTTAGTTTTGGAATTAATTCACATATAAAATAAAATCTATACAAAATAAAAATAAAAATATTGATTTATGATAAGGAAGCTAAGCATGGAAACCGTGATAATCTAACACTTTGTTTGTTCCCGTGGACTCAACAAAGAATACATAGATTTCAAGCGAGAAATAAGCCTCTCTCTCTCTCTATAACTTCTCTCTCTTTCTCTCTCTAGAACTTTGCTAGACGAGTCTTGTACTTATACTCGTTTCATCCTTTACCAACAAATTAAGGAACTGTGACTGAACAAACATCCATAACTTCCCCATTCCCACATTTTTTAAATTTAATTTTAATAAACCAAACAAACTGTTGATAAATAGAATCAATCTCTGAATTTTGAGATTCTCAAAACCAGTTGCGGAAAAATGAAGCTTCAGAGTTCATCTCTGGCTTTATTATTTCTAGGGTTTCTCTTACTATCGTCAACGCCGTCGTCCACGGCCAAATTCCTGGTGGAGAAGAACAGCTTGAGAGTGACGTCGCCGGATTCTATCAAGGGAACATACGACAGTGCGATTGGCAACTTCGGGATTCCTCAATACGGCGGTAGTATGGCTGGGAACGTTGTGTTCCCGAAGGATAATCAGAAAGGGTGTAAGGAGTTTGATGAATCCGGGATTTCGTTCAAATCGAAAGCTGGTGCTCTTCCCACCTTCGTTTTGCTCGATCGGGGAAGTATGATTCTTGTACCTTCGATTTCTCTTTTATTTGTGATTTTTTTTTTTATGTAGCTTGATTTAGTTTGTTGTAGAATATTGTTTTCCTTTTAGTTGATTGTTATGCTTGTTGTTGAGCTAAAATTGGTTGATGTTGTTTGTTTAGTAGTGTCACTTGTTTGGTTAGTGAAGACTTGATATGACTTGTTTTTCTCTGCTAATCTGCTTGTTTATCTATTGTTTTGCATTGGCCAAAAGAGGCAAAAAAAGCAGTTCTAGAATTGTAGAATTGATTTTGAGGTGTTTGGTTCTTTTAAAGTAGAATTGATTCTGTCTCCGGAATTAATTTTACTTGAATCTAGAATTTGTAGCTTTTGATTTCAAACGTGATTTTTGCATTGAAATTTACTATTTGACTCAATTTTGCTAGAATTTATCCAAACATAAATCACTTTTAGTCAAAATCATTTTTACTAGAATCAATTTTTTTCACTGCAGAAGCTAAATGTTACTTGATTGCTTCATGTTCAAAGGATTCTGCATGCTAGATATAGTTTTTAGGTTTTCAATGGTGTACCTTTAGTTTGTTTGATTGGATTTGTTGTTTATGGTTGTTCTTTAGGTTTTAATTGATAATTCAACATATATGGATTCAGTTATTTATATTTGTGTTGTGCTTTGGTTTTACACTTGCATTGACAAATTGAGAATTGGCATTTCATGATATACTTATGATGATAATTGTTTTGATGTTTTAAATTGTTCTCTTATGGTGGATTCTTATTGTGGTTTACGTGTTTATTGCAGGTTGCTTTTTTGCTTTGAAGGTGTGGAATGCCCAGAAGGCTGGAGCGTCTGCTGTTCTTGTTGCGGATGATATTGAAGAGAAACTAATAACCATGGACACTCCTGAAGAGGATGGATCATCTGCAAAATATATAGAGAACATAACAATACCTTCTGCTCTCATAGAGAAAAGTTTTGGTAAGAAATTAAAGAGTGCTATAAGTAGTGGGGATATGGTGAACGTAAATCTTGATTGGAGGGAGGCTGTCCCCCACCCAGATGATCGTGTGGAGTATGAGCTGTGGACCAACAGCAATGATGAGTGTGGAGTTAAATGTGATATGTTGATGGAATTTGTGAAAGATTTTAAGGGCGCGGCACAGATATTGGAGAAAGGCGGCTTTACTCAGTTTACACCCCATTATATAACTTGGTACTGTCCTCAGGCATTCACGTTAAGTAAGCAATGCAAGTCTCAGTGCATTAACCATGGAAGATATTGTGCTCCAGATCCCGAGCAAGATTTTAGCACTGGTTATGATGGGAAAGATGTGGTTGTTGAAAATTTGAGGCAATTATGTGTTTACAAGGTGGCAAATGAAACCCAAAAGCCTTGGGTGTGGTGGGACTATGTCACTGATTTTCAAATTAGGTGCCCAATGAAGGAGAAAAAATACAACAAGAAATGTGCAGATGCTGTCATTGAATCACTTGGCAAGTGAATCTTCATTGCTTTTGATGTTTTTCTAGGGTGGTTGAAAACAACTTCTCAATTATGATTATTCAATATCTGCAGGTCTTGATATTAAAAAGATTGAAAAGTGCATGGGAGATCCAGATGCCGATTCTGAAAATACTGTTTTGAAAGAAGAGCAAGATGCCCAAGTACTTCTTTATAACTTTAATTTGCTTATGTTGTCGTTTAATTGATTTTACAAGATTGCTATTGTTATTATGTATGTATAGAAAGATCTTTAACAAACTGGTTTTCGTAGATTGGGAAGGGATCACGAGGCGATGTTACCATATTGCCTACTCTAGTTGTCAACAGTCGTCAGTATCGAGGTTTGTACAATGTGCTTCTCTCATCGATATTGCTTGGATTTTCAACTCTTGAAATATTATTCATTTTTTGTTTTTGCAGGAAAATTGGAGAAAGGTGCTGTTATGAAAGCTATTTGTTCAGGTTTTGAAGAAACTACTGAACCAGCTGTTTGTTTGAGCAGTGGTAACTATTTACTATCCCTTACTCATTGAGTGGATATACTTTTGTTTAACTTTTAGTTTAAAACCCGACTCTTTTTGATTGGCGAACCTTACTTGATAGAGGTGGAGACAAACGAGTGCTTGGATAACAATGGTGGTTGTTGGCGGGATAAAGGAGCTAACATAACTGCATGCAAGGTATTGTATTTATTGAAAATAAGTATCTAATGACAGAGCAAATTGAATTCCAGTTTCTATATTCATGTATATATATATATATGTGAATATTTATGTAGGATACTTTCCGCGGGCGAGTATGTGAATGTCCTTTGGTAGATGGTGTGCAGTTCAAAGGAGATGGTTATACGACTTGCGAAGGTTAAATACACAGCCTTTACTTCTCTATTTGCATAAATTTCATCAAAACTTTATGTTACTGTGCATGTTACTTATAATAGAAGAAAAAGACAGATTTACTTGGGTTTGGATGATCCATATTTGACATTGTGAACATTGATCCATGATCTTTCTAGGCATAAAATACTCTCTCATGAATCATGATTCCTCATTTTTATTTTGCAAATTTATTGAACTTCCCTAAAATAAAGTAGAGGGGTTCAGGGATTGGTTATTTACTTATTGTTATTATTTCTGTTTATTGGGCAAAAGGGGTTGATGGTTTTTGTAAGGCGTTTGTGTTTTAAAGGTTAAATTATTTTGTAGGCTCCTATTTTTCATTTTATTTTTTAAATAGATCCTATTGTTTCATTTCATTTTTAAATCTCTATACTTTTATTCTATTAAATAGATCTCTCGCAGTTGGCGGCTGTTATAATCTGTCAGAGGATATTTAGTAATTTTCTAGTCATTTTATGTTACTGTTACTGATTTCAAAGACTTAAATATACAACTTCATTAACTTAAGTAGGGACCTAATTGAAAACTCAAGTGGTGTTTGTAAGAGCTTATTTGGACTTGTCTTATGACATAAACACTTGTGCAAGTGTTTGGAGGAGCTTAGAAAAATAGCTTTTGATTTTCTGATTACTCTGTTGTCATCTTATTCTCATAAGCTTCCCAAGATAGCTCATAAAAACAATATATGCAGAGGATATGTGGACTTTATCCTGATTATCTCTCTGATTGTGAAACAGTACATGCATAAATATTCATATGATGAATATGTTTTGAATAATTGCTGAATTAAATTGTTTGGTCGAGCTTCCTCCTATGTTATACTGCAAGAACATGTTCCAAACTTTTAAATATGTAGGGATACTGTTGAAAACTTCTAAGATCTTGTTATAATTGAAGTAAAAATATAGGAGCCTCTAGAGTTTACCTTTTTTAAATAATGTGTATTCATAGTTTCACTCAGCCAGTTTATTATGGGTTTACAGCTAGTGGACCTGGACGGTGCAAGATAAACAATGGAGGTTGTTGGCATGATGCCCGGAATGGACACGCATTCTCTGCTTGTTCGGTTAGTTGCTTCTTTTGACACTCCACTAACTTGTTTTGTCTTCACTAAATATTTAGCATTTGAATTTTTTTGAAAACAAATCACGTCTTACATTGTCATACCTTCATGAACAGGATAACGGAGGGATTAAATGCGAGTGTCCTGCAGGGTTTAAAGGTGATGGTGTTAAAGATTGTATAGGTGAGATTATTTAAATGTTATTTGTTTATTTATTTACTTTTCCTGTAGTGTACCTTGAAGTATTAAGGTTACCCAGAGCACTAGATTTATACACCCAAAATAGAATCCTGGATCTTGTGTTTAATATGTTTTTGAAAACAAATTGTTTTTAAAATTTTTGTCATGATAGGTGGAAAAACAGGTACACTCCGCCCCAAATTACATGTCCCCTTTTCCATTTTTATGCCTCAAATTATTTGTTGTTTTAGAATATACTAATGCAACATCTATCACTTTTTTCCATTAATTTACCCTTATTTATTGTATTTTAATTCATCTAACTACTCCACGACCTACTATTAATAAGTGTATTTTACTAAATGACACTTGTTGTATCACTTCATTCAATTTGGATTAGTTTTTATAGCTTGTGGAAGCTCTTCAATTTTTATAAGTATTTGTTTTCTTACTAAAAGAATCCTTATAAGCTCATAGTTTATGTGAAAACATATATGAGAGCATCTAAAGTCAAGGTGCAGAGTTGGGTTTTAAGTAATTCGAGTTGTTTTTAGAAGACACAAGGTCATTGGCAAGATTATTGCTACTTTTCTTATAAAAGTGTGTTGAAAAGTTTATTGGAACTGACTCTTGCTGTATACTTGGCTTTGCTAACCATGATTTATAACCTAGTAATAGTATGACACGGAAAAAAAGTCCCAGTAGAAAAGTAACTTTTCTATTCATTTCCACTAAAACTAGTGGTTGAGGTCAAAATCCTCTTTAAATATAACCCAGCTGGCACCTGGTTTGTCAGATATGCTATAAATGTTTTAGTCCCCACGTCCCACAAAACTCATTGTGTGTTTTAGTCGCCACAATATAAAACTATGCTTTTAGTCCCTAATGCATTTTAATAATTTGTAGGGACTAAAATAGAAGTTCATATTTAACCCTTGTTTTTATACAACGCTGACTACATTAATACCCAATGCTGAAACCTGGACCAATTTACTTGCTCTATCTTCTTTCTATTATGTTACATACTCTTTAAATATGTACATACTCCTTCCGAGCTCAATAATAACCAAAAATGAACTCATTCATTGGCTTAAAATATAAGTTCTAACTAATTTTTCCATATTTAATCCTATTATTTCGGGAAAAACCTTAAATTAATTCAAATTGTGTTCTCCCAAAACATGTTTCCTTTAAAAATTTAATGAAGATAAATGGTAAAAACAATAAAAATAAATTGATCCAAAAAAAAGGAAAAAGGAAGACTTAAAATTGGAAGACATATTGCTGTCTGTCTCAGTTAGTAAAATTTTGGTAAACTATATTTGGATAGATCATATTTTAATTATATCTCACTGTTAAAGTAATTAATTAGTCATAGTACTCCTTCAGCTCAAATTTGTGACACGTTTTATCATAACTAGGACAAATGAATATCTGACATTGAACTCCTTTTGTGCTTCATCCTTGCAGACATTGACGAATGTAAAGAGAAGAAAGCTTGTCAGTGCCCTGAATGTAGCTGCAAGAATACCTGGGGAAGCTATAACTGCACTTGCAGTGGGGATCTTCTGTATATCAGGGACCATGATACCTGCATAAGTGAGTTACAAACTTGTCATGTTTTTTTTTTCAAACTCATACATTTGAGTAAGCTTTTTTTCATATTCTCTTTTCGGTATTCTGCAGGTAAAACTTCTAGCCAGGAAGGAAGGTCTGCTTGGGCTGCATTTTGGGTCATTGTAACCGGCTTAGTGCTGGCCGCTGCAGGGGCATACCTAGTCTACAAATATAGAATAAGGGTAAGCTTGTTTGTGCTCTCCCAGTTTAACTTTGTGACATAGCCTTTTTTATTTTCAAGTTTTTATAAGATTTATATCATGCTTTGAGATCCATTAAATTGCATACCAGCTGGGTTTTTGTTTGAAACTCTAATACAGAAGAAACTCGACAAGTGTACCAGAGAAATTTGCACCAAGCTGTTACATAGACATTTCTTCATTTATTATTTTCTCCTTCTGTAGAGAAGGAAAGAGAACGAAGAGACATTTCCTTCATAGTATTTGACTGTATTTTTTTGTTGTTTTTGCAGTCATATATGGATTCTGAAATAAGGGCCATCATGGCACAGTATATGCCCTTGGACAGCCAATCAGAAGTTGTAAACCATGTCAACGATGAAAGAGCATGAAACTGAAAATGTGTCAGCCTGTTGGCGGAATCGTCTGTTGAGACTGAGTTGTGGCATACCTGTACCTTTATAACTTTTCAGAATTCCGAGCGTTGAATTTAATTTATAGACTGTATCATATGAACAATAAAAAACCGAGAATTAGATAGATGTCCTGTGTTTTTTATTGGGAATGTAGCAAATTGTATACTTGAAAGGACTGAATTTAGGACAGACTTTTAAGTTATTTTAGTAGATTTGTAGGTTTTCTGTTTATGTGAGACATCTTGTTCCACTCTTATGATTGTAACTTATTTTGCTTTTAGTACAGGTTTATGTTATCACTGTTATTTCATTGGTTTTTGGTGGTTTTTTTGTTTATTTTCTTTCCTTTGTTGGCTTTGACAAGTATGCTGAGAAACTAGCCCTGGGGAATTTGATTTGTGGTAGCTACTTGATCACACAGGTGAGTTTGGGATGCATTATGGAATTAGTTATTATATCCTTGATCGAATATACAGTTTTCACCATCTGGTTCTTGAAGAAAGAGAGGCCTTAATAATTCATATTAAGGTTAATCTTATTAATTTATGATTGAATGTCAAATTTTCTGACATTAATATGGGATTCCAAACTAATTTTGGAAGCAAACTCATTCAATTGTGACAGTATTATAGGATTACAAACTAATTTTGGAGTTTGGAAGTATGGTAAGATGCCAATGACTAGAGGCCAGTAAAACATGTTTGAAACAAACTTCAATAATCAAGAAATAATGAATAATGAGTCAATAAATCAGCTCAAAATAACATCCCATGGTTCAAAAATACACATGGTTATACATCCTTAGGATTAAATAAATACTGCTAATGAATAATTAAATACCTATCAACAGAATAGAAACATCACAAAGTTCCCAAATGGCATCCAGCTCTTTTTTTAACTGTTGCATCCTATTTTATTTTCTGCAATTTATCTATGGTAATTTCGGTGGTGTAATGTTGAGGTTTAGTCCAATGTTCATTCCATTGTAAGCAATGGGAGCATACATCCAGTGATCATCAGAGCTCAAAAGCTGTTAATTTGAAATCAAAAGATAAACAAACATGAATTAGTCTTAATATGGATTTTTTTGGCGATGAAGTAAGATTTGGATTCATAGTAAGGATTAAGGAGGATCCTTAAGTTTTTACCTTAATTTGGACCTGCAAAAACTTCACATATTGCACAGCTTCCTCAAGCATGGTACTGATATCAACCTATAATTCATAAGTAAGAAAATTAAATAATTTTAGCTTCTTAACCAATTGTTTCTATAGTTGAATGTTGTCATTGAGAAAGTTACCTTGGTTCCATTGGGGACTAGACTTTGTAGGATTTTCAACCTTTCATTTATTCTTTCTCTTCTTTTCTGCATTATACAAAATGAAAATCTACTGAGATCTAATCCTTTAAGAGTTCAAAATCACCGCAATCTTGGACAACAAGAACATCAAATTATCAGCAATGATATTTTAAGAAAATTGCATTTGAATTTGGTAGACATACTTTTGCATAGACACCTTGGAGATCAGTGCTAGAACCTCTATCACATCTTGATTTTCCTTTTACCTTCATCGACGCTGAATCGTCCCGGTTTACAATTGAAGACCCATCTTCATTTAGCTTCTGAGAAGCATTGAAGTCATCCTCCTCCGAGCTCAATATCTGCTCCTGAAGATCAGGACTTTCATCCTCTTCAGTGTTGCTTATAGACTTTGATTTCTTTCTAGGTTTGATATTTTTCTTATTCTTTTGTACCTATGGAATCAATAAAATCAAAATGATCAAATCAAGACGAGAAAAATTCTTCTTAAAAAACAATCGACACTGAAAATACATCTTTAGAATCAGACATTAACAAGATACTAACACATTCGATTGCATTCAAGCATTTTTATTTTCTCAAATTATTATGACATCTATTTATAAATATCGGTGTCTTGTCCTGTATCTATGTCACTATTTCATAGATAAGAATTGATTAAATTTAAAAAGATAAACAAGATTATGTTATCCCACCTTCATTGAGCTTCTAGATCTTTTTCCTGTTTTTTCCATGTTGATACTAACACCCTCTTCCACTGATTCAGAAACTAGTACCTCTTCACATTCCATGGGAGCCTGAAAATTCTTGTCACAAATAACCTCTTGACAAAACTCTTCATCAGTGTTGTTTTCAGTTAACTGTGCACTATCATTCCTTTGAACTCTACAAGCGCCGAAATCGCCATCCATCATGGATATGTAGCCAACGTTTGCTACTTGATCATCATTCAAACAGTTGTAACCACCATTAGTATCAGAAATTGTGTTACTTCCTTGCAAAAAACTTGAAAAATCAATGTTAACATTTTGAGGAAAATGGTGACTGTTATGCATGCTCACTATTGTTGAGTCATGTCCAGGCCATAATGTAGATGGAACTTCCAAATTGAAGTTTCCATAATGGTGGTCAGGGACTTGACAGTTATCAAGTAACTGGCCCATAAAATCAGCTTCCTCAGCTGTGTAAAATCCACTAAGTGAACTCCATTCTTCACAACTTTGCTCAGAAGGATCCATTTTTTTGAAAAAATTGATATTGGTTTGTTTTCTTTGTTAATTGTGATTGTAGAAGAAACTTCACTTGTTAATACACTATTTATAGTTAACTAAAAAGCAGAAATAAAATATCTTTACAAAAATAGACTTTATGCCTATAAAAAATCTCAATTAATAATTGCCAATTATTAGCATCTGAATAAGTCTTCTACCACTTTATTCAATATTCACAAGTCAATGATGGAATCACTTATAAGTTAGTATAAGTTAATCCCTTTGTTGTCCAATAAACACACGTCTTAAGGAAAGTATTAATTATTCTTAGAGGTGTAAGTGGATAAAAAAAATCAAATTAACCGACAATTCAAATTAAGTTAAATAAAAAATGGATTCTTTTGATTTGGTAAAAAAATCGAAGTGAACCGATGAAAATCGAGGTGATTTGTTTCAGTTATCGGTTTTAATTTTTAAGAATTGGTAAATCGATGAATCGAATCAATGGTTATAATTATCCATTTGATATTTTATTTATCACATTATTAAGTCTAAGTATTACACTAGTTCAAACCTTTTTAATTTTTGTTTAAGTTTTTTTTCTTTAACAAAAGACAAAATTAACAATCAAACTCCAGATATTGAAAGTAGAAATTCCAAGTCATAAAAACTTACTCTCGTCGATCAAACTGTTGCTCTCGTCGATCGTCATAATTGTTATTCTCATCACATTCATTATTCTTTGTTCTGGTCGCCTTCTTTGTATTTCAAGTTCTCTTGATTAGTTTTCATATCTTTTTTATACCTTCTTTGTTGCTTCTTCAATGAAATTCTTTCTAGTCGTGTTACAAAATAGTTTTGATGTGTATTTGAGGTGGGGAACATGTTAATTTACGAGTAATGCAATCTTTTTTTGTTGTTATTGTTGTGTTTGATTGGTTACCGCTTTGTATGGATTAAACAGAACTTATAAATTGTTTGAAAAGTAGAGCATGAAATTAATTATATGAAATGTATTATTTGAAGAAAATAATAGTAGAAAATACACAGAAAATATGATAGTAGAGAATGCATAAATAAATATAATGTTTGGAAAAAAAATAGTGTAAGCCGACCAACCGGACCAAACCAAACCGAACTAAACCGGTTAGTTTGGTTTGGTTTCATTTTTTTAAACAAAGCAAAACTAACTTCTTTCATTAGAAATCAAAAGTTCAATACAAGGAGGAACAAGATGGATAGAACTACGTCTAGCTCAAAATTTAGCCGCCTTCGCTAACGAATGGGCAATCATATTCGCTTGACGATTGATAAACTCTACCTCAAAGTTGGGAAAAATTAATCCACAACGATTGAATGACTCTAATAATAGTATAAAACTCAAAATTGCCAATGGCTTTGGCCCGTAAAGCTTGTACCACATGAAAAGAATCACTTTCAAAAATAACTCGATCAAGATGCATAATAATAGTGCTTTGTATGGCTTCCTTGAGCACTAAGGCTTCTGCTTGGATGACAGAAAGATTACCGGGATCCCAAGTCACACCTGTAATATGAAAATTGGCCGAGCTATCCCGGATACACCAACCTCTGTTTGAAGTACCATAGTTATTGTTAAAACCCGCATCCACATTACATTTGAGCCAACTGAGAGAAGGAGATACCCAAGATAAAACATGTTGTAAACCGTGGTCATCATCCTGAGTATGTTGTGCCGAAAACTAATCCTGCCACCTATGGAACGCAAGCCACCCAAGCTTAGGAGCTTCCCCCGGCTCATTATTCCAGATAAAATCATTCCTATTCTTCCAAATAACCTCCATCGTAATTGCGACTCTACTGGCAGTATTTTTATCTTCCTTGCTATAAATATAAAAAACTATCAACTTTACATCATTAAAAGACTGAAGTCGATGACCAATAATATTATTCAATCCGGCTGCCCGCCAACATTGGTTCGTTTATGAGCAACAACAGAAAAGATGTTAATCGTCCTCCATATTATTATTACAAAAAGGACATTCTCCCGGACATGGGACATGATGCTGACAAACTCTCATTCGAGAAAGAAGACAATCCTGACAAATCCGCCATAAAAAATGTTTAACTCTAGAAAGAGCTTTGATATGCCAAAGACTATTCCAATTACGCATATTACCCATAATTGGATCTCTATTCATTGCATTCCTTCACACCCTATAACTTGACCGCACACTATAACAACCACCTTGCTCTTCCTTCCACACCAAGTTGTCTTTGATGACATCCTCTACCAAAGGGACATAAGCAATTTCCCCCACTTCTGCATAATCAAAAGTATCACATAAAACTCTCATATCCCATTGTTTAACATTTGTCATCAGGATATTATTTACGGCAATATTATACACACCTTGTCTCTGAGGTCCACCCAGACACCTCTCATGACTCCCTCAAATCTAAGGTTCATTCATCAACCTGATACGACTTCCATCACTAATACTCCACCTGCAGCCTATCGTAAGAATCTCTCTAGCTTTCCAAATATTCCTCCACACAAAACATGGATTATAATTGAGATTAGCATCAAAGAAAGAGGTTCAAGGGTAGTACCTTACTTTGAAACTCCAAGAAACAAAAGCATGAAGATTAGACAAAAGGAACCACCTCTATTTAGCTACCATTGCCATGTTAAAAGCTCTAAAATTACAGAATCTCAATCCTTCATCCTTCTTAGTACAAGTAAGCTTCTTGTTAGAACAAAATTTGAATTCTACAATTGATCTCTGGATTTTGATGATAACAATACATATATTTTATAGGTAAACAACTTTTTTCTAATAAGTTTCTTGAGTGTGAAGATAAGAAATTCTAATTGATTCAGGACTGTTGTTTGAAGAATAAAAAATATGCCAAGCACATCAAAAAGACTGTTCACATATGCTTCTGAAGAAACAACAGTAGTTCTGAAGAATGCTGAATGTTCGCCAGAAAGAGGATTATTTTGGACTGGCCCAATGACTAAAATTGGCCCAATCTGCTTCCACCCTTGGCACGACCCAACAACAGTGGCCCAGCATTCTAGTCGATCATGCCCCCGAGCATACGACCAGCTTTAGGCGACACGCACGCCTGACCCAATCAGTCATTGTCTCCCGTCAGACCGACATGAGTCGAGCAGACAACTAGGAAACGTCCAGAATGACCACCTGTCCGTAATCCACCTCCTCCTCAAATCCAACGGCAAGTTACGGGTACATCTTCCCGTTTTAACCGAGTCTTGGTAGTTACCTATTTTTGTGGACTCGCATATCTAGGCCCAAAAATAGGGACCAATGGCCAAGCGTCGGGGACATTATATAAACCCTCAAACATGTGAAGACAAAGTATCCATTATTCATCTCTAAAACCCTAATGCTTTAGTTGTATCTCTTGGCTCCCACACTTACTTGATCGTCGGAGTGCCTTGCAGGTACAACCCCCATTCTCATCAACTTTTCCAGCCCGTCAAAGATCATTCTCAGGATAGCTTGCAGGTTCTGATTAACCGGTAAGATCAGTGGCACCGTCTGTGGGAAACTATCTTCCCCGTTTTCTGTTCCCCGAAATCTGAAGACCAAAGTTCCTCATTCATCAATCAGGGCTGACCATGATGATCACCAACTATCTAGAAAGACTGTGCTCTCCCCTGCATGCAAGACCGACAGAAGCCAAGGGCATCCTCACCTTGAGGATAACTCGGTGCCCGTGACAGACATACTGCGTCCCCGAATTCCGTCAATGCTGATCGCGACAACAATCTATTCTTAGACCAATAGTTCCCTAAGAACCTTGTCGAAGATCAGCCCGAGATTCTACAACCGGTCCCTATTCTGTAAAACATCGACCAAGAAATAGCAGCACTGATTGCTTCCATTAACCAAACCAACTTCCTCATCCTCCAGCAGAGCAAAAGGATAGGGGCTCTGGAGCAAAAACGGTTAAGGTCTCCCCCTCGGAGATACTGACGACATAACTTCTTCAGTGTATCGCCTCCCCGAGGCGGGCTCTCTCCAAGAAAGGAAAGACTCAACGTTTCTTTATGAAAGAAACATGATCGAGCATCTCTCAAAAAGGATAAAGACTATCCACTTTTCAAGAAGACGAAGAGCACCTGCAGAGACGACCACAACAAGCCACTATCACCCAGACCGAGGCGACGAGGGTGGAGCCCTTCCCCTTGATGAGATGACGATGCCCAACGAGGAAGAAACCATCACTCCCTACTGTCATCACCAGGAGAGATCGATGATGATGAACCCTGCGATCCATTATCAAAATAAATTATGGAGGCATGACTTCTAGTCGGGCTCGAGAAGTCACTCCATTGGGATCCTACGATGGTACGACCGACCTAGACGACCATATAGAGGACATCAACGCCCAAATTTATTACCGAGGGGTAAAAGGCACGATCAAATGCAGGTTGTTTCTGACCACTCTGAGAAAAAGGTGCCATGGCTTGGTACAAAAGCCTTCCCCCTAAATCTATCACTTCTTGGAAATAGCTGGAAAGACATTTTCGAGGCACTTCACCACCTCCCGCCGACATCTGAAATCAGAGGTGTCACTACAAGCGATTATCCAAGGCATAGACAAGTATCTAAGAGCATATATCGAGTGCTTCAATAAAGAAGCCATACAGGTCTCAACGATCAATGACATGAAAAGGTACCTTCTTGAACGAGGGCTCCATCCCCGCAACGACTTCGTGAAGGTCGTGGGCATCGAAAATTCATCCACGCTCGACTCCCTCCTCCTCAAGGCTCAAGCGTACATTCAATACGAGGAGAAATAAGCGGCCAACAATGCTAGGTGTTGTGCCCTAAAATTTGCCCTCCCATTTTCTTCAATACATTTTCCTAGGGTTCTCAAAAGCTCAATGGACTCACAACTAGGATTTTGTAAGGAAGATTGAGTTTCCAAGGTCTAAAATGGCTCAGATGACTGAGAATCAACTATATTGGGTAAAAAGTCAAATGTGGTCAACATATAGTAAAACCTCAAGA